GCACAAATCCTGTTCTTTTTATCGTCTGTGATCTTCGTTTTTGCATTCCACTTAGTTATCACTGTTTCAGTTTACCTGGATATCAAATTGTATCACTTTTTAAATTTGGTTCTACTGTAGAAAATACATTTGAATAAATGAAAATAAATGAAACTTATAAAACAAGTAAAATTTGTAAGATAAAATATGTATTAGAATTTGGACATTAACACAAACATTTATACTTGAAAATTATTACGGGAAAAATTGATTTTGAATATGTAATTTTATTCTTCATGTTTGAGATAGTCAAAAGAAATAGTACTTACAAAGAAGCTGGAAATAATTTCATTAGATTGTTGTAAGATTTGAGTTTTTGAGCCCTTCACATATCTCCATGACTGTTTTTCATCTTGAAATAATACTTAAAACCTTGCATGCTCTTCTGCCCTTTGATGCTGTGTCTGCATTTTGATGCCCAATGGGGATGAGAGTGATCACAAAGATCATAATACCAATAGAATGGTATACTCAATGTGAAGACATATTTTCATTCATTTTGCACAGGATCAGATACATCACAAGACATGTAGTTATAACGTAGTCAATGAGAGAGAACAGATTGTGAGATTATATCCAATTGGTCCACAATGAAAGGAAAATATAATTGTTACTGTATACAAAATTTGTAAGACGATATCAATTTCATTTAGTGCCCTGCCAGTTCCTGTCCACTGTGGTGTTTGATTTTCCTTGTGTCTCATCTGCTTGGCATCTACGGGTCTTTGCTTTGGACAACTGATGCTGCTGTTTTGTTGATGCCCTAAGAATGTGTTTATCTTGCTTACTGGGTAATCCATGCCTGCTTAAAGTTCACTAATGTTATCCTCATCACTAAATTCAAAGGCATTTTCAACTTTCTCTTTTTTGAAGTGCGGTCTGAGGTCCCTCCATAGTGTAACTTGCTAGTACACTACTTTAGATTCTCCATCATCTTTCCTCAAACTGGTCTCATTAGTATATATCAACTCTCTCTCTTTCCAAACTCCTTCCAGCACTTTCTGTGAACATTCTATAAGTATTAGCCTTTCTTCACTCTTTCTTTTTCTCTTTCTTTTAATATCCTTTCTAGAGAGTCTATGTTCTGGTATAGTTCAAAAAACATATGTTCAATAATCATAATTGTTGTTTTTGGGTACTATTAAGTTGGTTCCAACTCATAGTGACTCTATGTAGGACAGAATGAAACATTGCCCCATCCTGAGCACCATTCTCACGATGGTTACTATGTGTAAGCCCATTGTTGCAGCCAGTGTCAATCCATATCATTAAGGTCTTCCTCTTTTTCACTGACCCTTTAATTTACTAAGCTTGATGTCTTTCCCCAGGGACTGTTCCCTCTGGACAACATGTCCTAAGTACATGAAATGGATTCTCCCCATGTTCACTTCTTATGAGCATTCTGGTTTTACTTCCTGCAGGACAGATTAGTTGGTTCTTCTGGAAGTCCATGGTACTTTCAGAATTCATCGCCAACACCATAACTCAAAAGCATCACCTCTTCTTCAGTCTTCCTTATTCATTGTCTAGCTTCCATATGCAAATGAGGAGATTAAAAACACCATGTCTTAGGTCAAGCACAACTTAATCCTCAAGGTGACATCCCAAACTGACATATTCTGCTCTACTCTGGCTACAATGCACCACACAAACATCACAAGCATTTTCTTTTGGAATTATCATCATCACTTCTCACTTGACTTTGCTAAAACTTATCATCTTCCATCTCCCCTGGTTTGTGTTAAGGCACTAAGCCTTCAAGTACTCCATTTTCAATTTCTGACTCTCCTTATGTCTTCCTCTTACTCAAATATCCATGACATTTTCTGAATTCTTCATTTACTGCAGCGCTGGCAATGGCTCCCATTCTACAAGTGTTTAGAATGCAGTTATAAAGAAAATTCACACACATCCAAACATATCCCACACTCTTTCCAGATCAGGCTTTTACTCAAGCCTTTCCATCTATTTGTACTTCTGAAACCTTAATTATTCTTAAAGTCTCATCTCACACATTACCACTTCTAGGAAGTATTTCCTAACTGTACAAGGCAGAAAAAAACTCTTATCAGACTTTGTTTATATATTTAATATTGCACCTAACCATCTAACTCATATGTGAGTTATATATATAGTATTACTACTTCCAACCTTAATTTGTGAGGTCTTAGAAAGCAGTAACCATGTCTATCAGTCTTTCTTCCCTGTAAGACCTACCACAGTGCTCTATACATAGTAAGTGCTTACAAACCTGTCCTAAAAAACTTGGATGCAATTTAAGTGATACTTTGGAGTATTAATAAAATATGAAGAGATCTGTGTTGAAATACAGCCTGTCTGAAATTCCCTTTGAAATGCTGAAAAGGTTTAGACACATGATCAAAGGAAATGAGAGTGATATAAGAAGAGATCAATTAACTAAAACACACTACCATGTCTTTTTTTATTTTACTTTTTTAAATTGGGGAATGCATATTAGATAAGAGGTTATAACTTAACACTTAATTTATTTACCTGGAATTTAAAAAAAAATGTTTTTGTTGTTGTTATTGTTTTGTATGTGTGTCTTTTTACCTTGATAATTTTTATCTGAGTTGAGGAAATCAAGTGAGATGCAGTTACATTATATTTATGACAGTTATCCTGTTACCCAATGATCTCAGAAAGACCATGATGCTTATAGTGCGAATTCAAGCAAGAATATTCTAATTCTTTTGCGTATGAGAACCACTTCAGGCTTTCAAATATAATCAAATTTTATTAACGAACATACTGTTTGTGTGTGTGTGTGTGTGTGTGTAGATGTGGAATTCTGAAGCTTCCTAACTATGCACAATATCTGGTAAAGTTTTCATATTTGTTCTGCATTTTTTTGTGATTAAGGTTATCACAAGCACTGTGGAACTGTTTTGAAATTTATTTTTCAACTTATTTTGACAGAGTGTCTAATCCAAATCTGCAGATAAATGATACATGGTGAATAAACATATATGTCAAACTTTTTTTTTTAAAATACAACACTAAACTACTTTGAAGAGGCATGTCCTCAACATGTTCCTTGGCATGATTTAGAGATCAAAATGTCTTTGGTGGCACTAATCAGAAAGTATGGAATTTTGTGGTTTCTTACTTGTGCTCATCTGTACTTTTCATTGATTTAGGATCACAAAACATTTACCATACATTAATTTCATACTTGACACCTACCTACCTATTGGCATAAAAACATTTAAATTCTGATTTAAAATATAATATATGTGTGCAGAAAGAGACTTGCCAGAGAAAATGGGAAAGCAGAACTGAAAGTAAGAGAAAGAAAACAATATATGAATTCTTTTTGGATTATCCTAATTTAATTGGATTGATTTATGTGGTAGCTCAATGGTTAAGTAGGAGCTCTAGGGCATAGTGCTTAAAGCATTTGGCTGCTAACCACAGGGTCAGTGGTTTGAATCTACCAGCCACTCTGCAGAAGAAAGATGAGGCTGTCTGCTTCCACGAAGACTTATAGCCTTTGAAACCCTGTGTTTTCATCAACAACCCAATCTTTTGCTTTTATTCACTTCCTTTGATAATTTCTCTACATATTTTCTTATTTTCTCTGTCTTCCTGTTTTTGGTTAAATATTTTGAAATATAATCAGAGAAAACCCTGAACCAATTAGAGGTGGTTCTACTCTGTCCTATGAGTTGCTATGAGTAGAACTGACTTGATGGCAGTAGGTTTGGTTTTTATCGTTAAGTGTTCAGCTACTAATCAAAAGGTCGATGGTTTGAATCCACAAGCTTCCCCATGAGAGAAAGATGTGGCAGGCTGCTTCCATAAAGATTTATAGCCTTGTAAACAATATGGGGTGGTCCTACTCTGTCCTATAGGGTCACTATGAGTCAGAAATAAATTGATGGCAATGGGGTTAAATATCAATTTACTCATCAAATTAACAATGGACAAAAATAAAATCTCAGCTTTTAAAATATTAACTAAAAGTAATTTATTCACTTGGTTTTGTTTTCCTGGGGACTTAAATTAAATATGATTACCAATGCAAACTTACTAACAACACAGGTACACATAAACGCTGCAAAACACTGGGGAGAATCATACACTCCATAATAAACTTTCATATATGATACTCTTTAGTGTCAAATATAAAATGAGACCAGCAGAGGTAAAAATGTTCCATTGTTTACTTTTTATTTTGTCTGTTTACAGTCAGGTAAACATAGGCTGTTACGAGATAAACTATTTTTGTATTTCTTCACAAAATACCCTAGGATAAGAGATAATTTTCTTAATTTTAAACTCAGCCTTTATTCTGTCAGGCAAAGTAATTATGGAAGCAAAACAAATCCACATTGTCTAATTAGGTCATTAAAAAGCATAAATGCGTCATGGAAGCTTTTCTCCTTGCCTAAGACATAAAGTAAGAGAATGAAAACAGTCTGGTAATATAGGAAGGTTTAGAATTTGTTTCTTTTCAAAAATAACAGACCCTTTCATCTTTCTATTTCCCTAAGACTAAGACAGTTAATTTGGAGACAAAAATCTCTAATTGGTTCAGGGTTTTCTCTGATTATATTTCAAAATATTTAACCAAAACCAGGAAGACAGAGAAAATAAGAAAATACGCAGAGAAATTATCAAAGGAAGTGAATAAAATCAAGAGAGTGGGTTGTTGATCAAAATATATTCTGCAAAGACAAAATGAATATAAAATTGACATTCATATAAACACAAGCAATCTGGGATACAAGAAAGCTCTTAGGAGGAATATGCTGGCATCTGCCTTTGGGGTTTGAAATCCAGACTTTAATTACAGCTAACCTAAATAAAAACAAATGGCATGATTATTTTGTCTGTTCCTCTCTCTACTTCATATTATTTCTTGAGTTTCAGAAAATTCATGGTTCACTCAAAGTGTTAAGATACGAAATGAATCAAAGAATAGAAAAGAAACTTACCTGGGATCCTCTTGCCCCTCGCTTATGGTCCCATTCAGAATGCCCTATGAGCTGTAAAGATAATACAAAAATTACGGTAAATGAAATGATACTTATTTTATACAACATGTATTTTTACTCCTTTTTTCAAAAAAATAATTAGGCTTTTAAAAACTATGTTTTAATAGTAAAGCTTTGAATAACTATCTTGACTAAAATAACTACCTGAAGAAATAAACTACTGGTGTGATAGCTAACATTTCAACCTCTAGTTGTTTTGAAGGAGCTCTGGTGGCATAGTGCCCAAGGCATTTGACTGCTAACCAGAAGAATATTGGGCACTCTACTTCCATAGAGATACTGCCTCAGAAGCCCAAGGAGGAGTCGCTATGATTAGAATGGACTTGACTGCAATGAGTTTGGTTTTGGTTTTTACAGTTGTTTTGAGAGTATTTTTAATACTATTGTGCAGCAAAAGGCATTTGGTAAGGTACAGTTTTGTTGTTCTTTGTCAGGAACATCCTCCACAGGTGCCAAACTGTGTAAAGTTTTATTTGCATATTTTTCAAGACTTTAGTTTATTAGAAAAATATGCTGAAGTAAATTGATAGTGTAACTTAATCTACTGTCATGGTAATATGCAAAAGGCCAGAATATTTTAAAATTATGTACAGAAAATATCACAGAGAGTTCTAAGAAATAAAATTATTTAATATGAAATGTGTCCTCAAAGTCATGAAATGTAGATTTACATTAAACAGATATTGTTAACCAGGAGGCTGGTGGTTCACACCCACCAGCCACTCCTTGGAAGCAAGACTGAACAATCTACTTCTGTAAAGATACCATCTCAGAAACCCAAGGAGGGGTTGCTATGAGTCGGAACCAACTTGATAGCAGTGAGTTTGGTTATTTGGTTTTACATACTGCTAATGATTAGAAGTCTAATATTTATTTATTTTAAAAATACAAGATATGAAATGAGAAGAATGAGACTCAATTAATCCATTCAGATACTCACTACTCATATATATCAAGAGGAGAACTACTTATAATTAATAAACAGCACAGTAACATGGTGGGCTAACCAATATATTCATCTAAATTATTAGCTTTGTCTACATACAGCAATGAATCTTTACTCCTTCGCTACCGCTGAGTTGGTTCCGACTCATAGTGACCCCTCCTTAGGTTTACCAGAGAGTATCACTACAGAAGTAGATTGCCCAGTCTTGCTTCCAAGGAGTGGCTGGTGGGTTTGAATCACCAGACTTCTGGGTAGCAGTCAAATGCCTTAGGCAATATGCCAGCAGATCTCCCAATGAATCCTTAGTAGTTATAATTTTAAAAGATGTTCATGATAAAACTAAAAAAAAAAAAAAAGAGAGAATATACATTTGAACAGCATTATCAAGAAATGTGTGATAACCATATATAGAGTATGGTAGAATTTTACTGATAGAAATGCAATGCTCCTGCCTTTGAAGACACTTCTATAAGATCTTTAAGGTTAGATTTTACTTAAAAAATATATTACAGATTTAACTGAATTTCTATCAAAAGTTAATAGTATTCAAATAGGAAATGGAAAATACAAGAGCATAAATTTCACTGAGAGAGGATAACATGAGAAACTGCTGCAAATGATAGAAGGGATGGAAATCTCCTAAGAGTTAATTAAAAAGAAAGAAAGAAGAAGGAGAAGAAAAAAAAAGCACTAATTATGTGACAATGGGTTAAGAATCAAAATATAAATTAATGAGACATAGAAGACAATTTTGGAAAAAAAAACCTCAATTACATGTAGCAACAAAATATAAAAAAATATAAAAATCAAGGGGTATTATATGAATTATTCAGCAAATGAAAACAAGAATTTGACTTTGGAAAAGAAATAGATCTAAACATTATAACATACACTAATATAAATTCTAGATATTTCTGAAATATTAAAAAAAAGAAAGCAAAAGTATAAAATGAAATCAATGTAAATATTTAACCTATCTTGGAATACAAAAAGATTCTCCAACTTAAAATAAAAATATCACAGAAGAAAAGATCAATTGACGTAGCTACATGAAAGAATATTTGCACATTTTCACATTGGCAAGATATCTGCAGCAAATGGTTGTTGTTCCTGTTAGTTGTTGCCTTCCAGTTGATTCTGACTCATGGTGATCACCTTCCCTAACCCATCTCTTCTACCCCCTCGGCAGGTAAAGGATAATATCCTCAGCATACTAAAAACAATTACAAATTAAAAAACAAAAAACACAACCCTAGTAGGAAGTTGAAGAAAGGATAAGACTAATTTACAGAAGAAATAATAATAGTCCATAGATTCATGGAGAATAAAATTTAACTTCCTAGAGAGTGAAAGAAATTTAATATAAACAATTACAAGATTCTACTCTTCCCAATCCTAATAAATTAGCAAATTGATAATACTGATACTTATGTGGTGATAATTGATACTTATGTGATAAGTATCTAAGGACATAAGTAACCATATATGTTGCTAGTATCTAATATATATTTATATATATACATATTTACATGTGTTCTTGTGTGCCATCAAGTCAATTCCAACTCATACCAACTCCACAGGATACGGCAGAACTGCCCTATAGGGTTTCTTAGGTTTATGGGAGTAGTCAGGTCTGTTCGCCTGTGGGGCAGCTGGTAGGTTTGAACAGCCAAACCTCTGACATTTTGGTAGCAGCTGAGCACTTAGCCACTGTGCCATCAGGGTTTCTTCTTACACATATACACAGTATGTATATTATATATTGACTTATAAAATAACCATTGTAATACATTTCAAATATCCTTAAAATTTCATACTCTTTGAATCAATGTATAAAAAACACAGTAATTACAATATGTAGATCACCACATACTATTGTGTTATGCAATAAAAAGATCACTTTCCAAAAAATAATAGTACAAAAAAGAATACTGTGCCACTAATAAAACCAAAATCTTAAGGTTTTTTAAAAAAATGTGTAAGAAATGCTCATGAATAATAAATGAGAAGTATCACAAAGTGAATTTAAGCTATTTTTATTTTTACAAGACATACTCAATCATTGCATAGCATTAGCCTTGGCATTACTGCAATGATTAATTGTAGTTTGGCTAGAACACAATTAGCCCAGATAATCACTGCATAATATTGAATGGTTACATAGTCAATTTTTTTTTAATGCCTTAATTTTATTTTTTTTTTAATTTCTGGATTTATTGGCATTACATCTTGTAGTAAATATTCATTACTACTAATTTAAAGTTGATTAAATGAGATTCACAAATACCAATCAACTAATGAAATAAATAGTATAATTTAGAAACATAATTTAAGAAAGTTGAATTAGTTAACTAGAATGATCAGAAACAATTTTGATAAATTTCAATCATCTGCCTTAATGAGGTCTTGAAGTGACTTTTTCATTACAATAGGAAGACTAACCGAAACCAAACCAGTTGCTATGGAGTCCATTCTGACTCATGGCGACCCCATGTGTTGCAGAGTAGAACTGCAGTCCAGAGTTTTCATGGCTGTGACCTTTCAGAAGCAAATCATCAGGACTTTACTCCAAGATGCTTCTGGGTGGATTCAAAACACCAACTTTTAGGTTAACAGCTGAATGCTTCACCATAGGCACCACCCATTGATGTGTAATACAAAGACCAAATATTTGCTAAAGATAGGACAAAATTGAGTATGATACTGTGTGTTAGAGAGAAATCACTCTTAAGCAAATGACTGATCTCTTTAACTGTTTAAATGATTTAAAAAAAAAAAAAACTTTTATAAAAGGCTGAAGGCTGTGAATATTATCCTATTTGCTAATAAGATTAAACTAACAGGATAGCTTGTTAAATAGTGTCATGTACTGGTATTACATAAATGAGAGGTAAATAAATCTCAGTAACAATTGTAATCCAAATTTTATTGAGAGGATATTTGATGACAGGTAAAAGTCGCAGGTAACATTTCTGTGGAATAAGAACTAAATTCAGAAGAGCACAGAATTCACTATCCTCTGTCATTAACTACTTAAAGGTGATGAATTTAGTGAAAGTGCAAAAACAATCAAAATGTAGACTCATTTGGATCATAACTTACTACAGAAAATTAATCCAGAACTTACAAATCTCTAAAAATTTACTCTCTAAATCCAATTTTTTCTTTTGAGGCATAAAATAGTAAAATTTGGCAAATGTGTTGAGGTATCTGACAGAATTATTTCTCAGTCTTATACAATAAACTAATGTAAGAGATTAAAAAAAGAAAAAAAAACACCTCACTGCCCTCGAGTTGAATTAGACTCATAGCGACCCCTCCTTGGGTTTTCCAGGCAGTATCTCTATGGCAATAGATTGCCTACTTTTAGGGTAAAGGAATTTTATTATACTCTATTCTACCTTATTACATGATAGTATTACATATAAAATATTATTATATTCTCATTTTACTACATTTGAAAAGCATAAGTTGACAGAACATGTAATATTTTTTCATGTACGTTATTACTACTTTTTTCAAAGTAATAAAAAAAGACAGAAACCTACATGTATATGAAATGTAATCTAAAAAGGAATGAATTCTACATATGACAAACGAAATACTGGAATGTTCTCTGTTCAATAAGAAGAGAGTCAAAGAAAATCAACAGAATTTTTTTTCCTTTTTGATTTGAAGAAATCTTACCAGGACTTTACCATATACAGGTAGTTTTCAACTTACGACAGAGTTCTTTTTCAATGATTCCATTGTAAATTGATTCTGACATAAGTCTAATACCTCCTTTTTTTAAGTTTTCATTTTTGTTGCATTTTATTATCATTATTTTTATAAATCATAACATTTAACATCGTGAGAGACCATCCTAGAATGATAACATCAGCAAATTACGTGTTACAACATTGTATGCAGTACATATTACTAATGATCAGATGCTTTAAAAATAAAAGAAAACAGCCGGTCATTAAGTGTGGTTCATGTAACATGAATATGTCATAAGGTGGAGACTACCTATACTCCTCTCATTGATGAAAGCACAACTGAC